AGTTTCGTCGATAAAATACATCGGTTCACTAATTGATAACCCGCCGCATCAACGAATCCAGATAAATAGTGTCATGTATAGCAAAATATAATTGTTTACAAAACGGTTTTATTGAACTACAAATCTATATGAGAAAAGCACGTTTACACGCAAAATAATTTATCAAAAAAGCGGAAAACAAATACATAGAAAAAAGAATTTTTAAACCATTATAATTGATTTTTTATTAAACAAGAGTACATTGACATTTCAGTGCCAGCTCTAACTTTCTATATTCCGTTTTTCAACATATCTACTATGTATTGTGAAGCTCTACAGTGTTTTTGTTGATATTATTATCGTTACACAGTTTGTAAAATTAATGGATAAACTATCTAGAAGTTTTATTAAACAAGTCTAATTTTTTTTGTTAACGCAGACAAACTTTACTGTGCTATCTCTAGTTTAAATAACAAAATCATAACAAAAATCGAGTAAGGGGTTTAAAATGTTCGCAGTTAATTTTAGGTGTTTTATTTTCGGATAAATTTAAATGAATCTGGTGTTTTGTTCCTGGATGAACTTGAAAAAATCGTTTGAGTTTTTGATGCTTTATTTTTTACGAATTTGAAAGTCTTGAGTGCCGCAGTGTTTTTTTTTAATTCGGAAGACTCTTGGATACCCATGCAGATTTTTTTTGTAAATTATTTAAAACAATTTTGGGGGACTTTGGTGATCTATTTTTGGAAAATTCTGACCTGACCTGTTTTTGAATTAATTAATTTTGGGACCCCGTTTTTTTTTTAATTTAAAACAATCTTGAGAGAAAGAATTTGGAACTGCTTTGGAGTTTCTAGAGGAAATATATACATTTGCCAAAATCACTCTTATCTTAGCAGATACTAGCCCCGCCCACCCACCCTCTCTTTTCTGAGAAGGTATGTCATTTGCCAAAATCGGTCTTATTTTAGCAAGTACTAGCCCCGCCCACCCGCCCTCTATTTTCTTGGCTGGTATGTCATTTGCCAAAATCGATCTTATTTTAGCAGGTACTAACCCCGCCCACCCACCCTCTCTTTTCTTAGAGGGTACGTCATCTGCCAAAATCAGTTTCATCTTAGCAAGTACTGATGACTAACTTTTTCAAAAAATGATAAAAAAATTGCTTATATACACAAGGCAGGAATTTTTAATATCTTCTCTAGTGTTTAGTTGGATACGTTTTAATGAATTTTTCTTTTGTTGGTTTTGTTTTTGTTTATAACTTATATATGTCTTATTAAATGTTTTTGAAGTGTTAATTCCTTTCTTGTCGTAATATAGAACACGTATGCGCGCCGGAATAGGAATGTCGAGTTCCAGGTACGAGCTTGGTATCAGTGTCGGTGTCGGTGTCGGTGTTGGTGTCGAGGTCACTGAGATCGGTCTGAACCGAGTCTGAACATCGACATATAATGCCGCGCTATAGAAAAAGAGAGAGAGAGAAAGAAAGAAAGAGAGAAAGAAAGAGAAGAAAAGAAAGAGAGAGGAATAAACTATCAAACAATATATACATGAAACGCCTCATAAAGTGGTGTTGCTTCCGTCTCTTAGCACCCCAAGGATGCTCTAACCTTCACCCACTGCCAGAATTCAAAGAGCAATAAAGCATTTTATTTTTTAAGAGAAAATTAATGACTTCGTCCCTGGGTCGACGCACTCTTTTTTTTTGGTTTATTTAGTAATGAAAAATAACAGCTTGTTTTATTAATAATAATACACAACGATTAATGACTGAAAGAAAGTAAGCCAATTTTACTTTTAGAAAATTACGTACCAAACGCACTGAAAAGTTAATCCGCCATTTGCCAGACACCCGGTATAAAAAAAGTAAACTAACTAATTAACTAACTAACTAAATTTCATCCACTCGTCATTTATGAAACAAATTATTTAGAGAAGTACTAAGTGGTTTTTTAAGTAAATGCGACTTAGGGGGTAGAATTTCCAACAACGCTGAAACAAGTAAGTTAATTTTTTTACCATAAGCCGAAATATTGCATTTCAAGCTTTTACTTTGAAAAGTATGACGGGACAAACATTAAGACTTTCATCCCCTATTTTAACCTTTAAAAGTAAAATTTTGAAAAATCCGGCCTTATTTCTTGTCTACATCATAAAGGGAACTTTTGTACAAAATTTCAGTTTTTGAGACCTAAGGGTTTGGGCTGGGCGTTCATGAGTCAGTCAGTGGATGAGTTAAAACTTTTCTTTTTGTAATGTAATCACTGAACATCATTAAATGTTTATTGTAAAACATGACCTAATATGGTTTACAGTATCTTTTAAAATTACTTATTTCCTACAAAACTGTTGATTAAATAAAAAATTTGGCATCACTGAAAAATCAAGAAAATAAAAAAATAAAAACACAAATATATTTTTTGAAAATATACTGTTAAAAGACAAACTAATTGACAGCACTTGCAGAACAGGTGACACTTTTATAACTAACTGAGAGAGTCCTGAACACCGAAATTATAATAATCACATAATAATGATTCTTTTATCAAAGAATACAAAATTTTGTTGTCAAAAACGGAGTAGTAAAAATCATATTTTTTTGACGGTCGAATTAGATTTTTATTTTGGGATGTGGAAAATCTACTTTTGAAAAATTATTTCAAAAAATACAATCCTCTCAACGTATCGGATTAGTTGCCCGGCGCATCCACCATTATCACAAATTCACCGTTTGCAAAATTTATATTAAAATCTATAAACTGAATAAAACTGTAGTCACTAAACATAAAAAATATTTAAATAAAAGTTCAACATTATATAAAAAATTAACACACCACATTTTATCATGTGCTTACTTTTGTTTATGCCGTGAAAAAGCTCAAGCTTGTTTGAAACAACCCAAAATAGCTGTGCCGTCGGCAGTTAATCAAGTAATATGGTTTTTATGCATACAGCATAAATTATTAAAAATTTTACAACCGGTTTACGGTTAAACATTAGAATTAAAATTCCAATAAAAAATCACAAATCAGTTAACCCTAAAGATTAAAGTATTTAATGGTCGAAACGAGTTACTAAAACAACTCAACTGAACATGCACCAGAATTTTATATGCACAGTTCGAGTCATTTAATAAAACTAAATAAGCTGGTTTAACATACTGCACCAGTGTTTAAAACCCATGTGACGAAAACTCAAATCAAAAAACCTGTTTTACACTCTATATGCACCATACATTCATCGCATTAACATAGTCCTCGTGAATTCGAAATGAAACACATTAAAATGCACAATATATAGCACTAATCTCTGCTGCTGTCCATCACATCCATACGCCACCCCGAAAAACTAGTTTCACAGTCGCCCAAAAATGTGCTAATAATCTAAGAATACTAGTGAAATAATTGCATGCAATAAGTTGGAAAAACGAAACCACTGTTAAATCGGCAAAACCTAAAATGCGCAAAATATATTTCAACGAATGACTAGTTCCTAATTTGAGAAAAGTGCGCGCCCCGAGCGGTTTAATAAGTGTGGTAGTGAAATTGTTGTTTGAAGCAAATTGGAAAAGACAAGACGAAGATTGTTGAACTCGAATATAAAATGAACGAAATATGGAACTAATCTCTGTTTTCCTAGAATTGGTGTTGAAAAAAGTGGTGACTGTTGTGATTGGTAGTGAGACGATTGTTTGAAGTAAATTGTTTAAAGTCGTATTTAGAATGCACAAAATTTAGACTAATCTTTGTTTTTAAAGCAGCGTGGAAAAAGGATGAGTTTGTTGTTAGTATTATAGTGATGTAATTTGCGAAAAGTTGCGCGAGCCGAAGTGATTTAATAAAAGTAGGGTAGTGAGATGATTGTTTGAAGTAAATTGGAAAAGACAAGGCGGAGATTGTTAAACCCGAATTAGCGAAATTTTTTAAGAAAGTAATTGGAGCGTCTGAGCTGGCTGTATTCTTTGCGTCGTACGTGCGATGCATGATTAGGAAAGCGTCCGCCTCGGCGTGATTAGTTTTGATTGGGTCGAAATTCTTCCGGAAAGGCACGGGCACGGATGTGATGGATCGTCGTCGGTGTTGAAGCGCGATCCATCGACAGTTAAATAAAATTAGTGTCAGAGTGCATGTAAATAGCTGGTGCTCGGCGCATGTGTTTATTCTGAGCACAGCAGAGAAGAGAAGACATGCACGGGAAATTAATGTTCGAGGCGAGTGTTATGGGGGCGAGCGAGCCTCGTCTGGCGAACCGCGACCGTCCGACAGCAGCGAACCGCGCATACAAGAAATCAATTTAACGACTGAAGAGTAGCGATGCCGTAAGCCGTATAAAGGAATACGTTATTGGCGATAAGATGGACGAGCGTGTTGATTGCACGCCCGGCGCCCGGCCACATTCCGCTATGCGCACGGAAACGTTTTAATAACACGTTTAAAAATAAAAGAGCGCCCGCTATCAGGCGGGAATTAAAGGATATTTGTCATTCATGATGTTTCATCGAAGCACCGGTAGTCCGCGGCCCATGCGAAGCGCGCTCATCAAACTTTCAATGATTGTGTATTGCGAAAGTAAGTGTGAACACTTACGATCGACTTGCAGCGCAGTACAGATAAAGCTTTTATAAAGTGAGCGATCGCACGAGCGCTCGCACCCTCCGCGCCGCTCGCCCCCAAACTAATGGCTTTTAATAAAAGTCCGACTATAAAAATGTTGATTTATTATTAGTTCGGACGATTACGGCCCGCAAATTTTTGCCAAATTTCCAAATTTTATTAAACGCATAATTAAAACATTTTTCATCATTACTTTTAAGTGCCCATGCCGCCCGATATCCTCACCGTAATGGATAATGCCGCCCGACCGGTCGCCCTTAAACCTAACAAATTGTCCCTTATCACGCCAGCCGCGCCAAGAAATCGCATAATTGTTTCGGAATCGCACTCTTTTATCTTCTTGACGCGCCATACAAACAAACAAAACTCGTCCGAGAGCCCCGGCACACGTGCGTTACCTCGTACCTAGGAATGCGAGTCGGTCTCGTGCATGTGCAGCGTCGAAAGTTGGCAGTTGCGGAGTTGGCGAGAGTTGCGCTCCACGACTTCGCCGGCGAACGTCCCGTTGCTCGCAGCACAAACACTGGTCATATACTGAAAGGGCACCGCGTGCCTTTGCTCGAAGGCCCGCGACCGCCACCGAGCCGGGCATCGAGCCTGTGGGAGCGGCGTTTCACCACGCCCCCAAACACTGAAACAAATGCGACGAGGAGTGAAGTAACTGTTGCTCTTGCAGAGCGCGCTGGAGGGATGCTCCCTTACGGAAATCTGCACAGGAATGCAATTTCATCAAAGCACACAACAGCGTTGTGTTTTGAGTCCAGATCACAGGGCTCGGCCACATGGAAAACAAAGTTATAAGTCGCGGTTACGGTTTCATTACACCAGTTGGGACCGGCACGGCTCAAGATGACCTTCGATACGAACGTATTTAAGGAATTCACGAGGATCATCTTCAATCCGGATTGCTGCACTGGAAAACCGAAAACGGAAACCTCTCTAATTAATAAACGGACGCTCAGACCGGCCATCGAATCGCCGACCTCCCAACGCCTTCACTCGGTTACTTGTCACGTGGCTGGGGGCGGCCTGTCGCACATGGATCTCCTCTAACACAAGTATTGCCTGATTTACGACGCACGTTTCCCATGCACTACACTTCCCAAAAATTTATAACACCATCTCGATGCAAATTCTTCTTAAATCGACACCATTATTGTTTGTACTTGTTTCCACTCTCAAATACTTCCCTTACTAACATACACTCGTCGTCCCAAAAAAGGAACAAAAACCCCGTCACCCTAAGTGGCTGTTTTTTTCTCAAGAACAACACTTTTTGCTGATGTTGGGTTCTTCTTCGACGCGTTCCAAAATTTGTTCTTCAGCTTGCAGTATTCTTTCGATCCTATCACGGCCACGATTGTGGGTTTGCGGCTTGAAGGTATCACGGAATCGCACGATTTGGAAAGCGCTCGATCCACAATTCACGGACCAACCTGGCGTTTCACCATTGTTAAAGACGTCAACCGACCACACACCGGCAACCAACTTACACATGACTAGCTCTTATCGTGTTTTTGCACGTTGCTTATCAATACGACGCTTTTTGGTTCTTAATCCTAGTCGTTCTATGTCATTCATTGCGTAGTAGTTATGGTAGGTCAAGAAACGCTAACTAATTTCAAATATTTTTTTCTAGACACATTTCGAAATCACCTTGTATTTCATATTGTCCGCATTTAGAAACTGCGCCCCTTGGGCATAGGGACTACTTCGTCTACTTCTTCTATGATTATTTGTATCTTATTCTTGTTACTTCCTCGTTTTTTATTGATTATCATCTTCCCTTTAGATTTTTTCACATTAACTTCCTTGAACATCTTTTAATCTTTCTAATCCATAACTGTGATTTTTTTTTTGTTCATTTTATTTGTTATAACTGTAACTCAAATTTTTTGACTCCCCATATTTCTCTTGGTTTATTTCCTAATATTACTTCTAAAATCGATTCCATTTTTATTGCTGTAGTTAATTGTCCGTGTCTGTAAACTATCTGTTAGCGGTGTCTTCTGACTTCAGTTTAGGTATTGCTATTCTATTACATTAGTTTTCTTCATCTATGTGCACATTGTTGACTACTGCTGTTCTTTCTAACTCCGATTTTTATCATCCTGACTTCCTCTATGCTCTTTTGTAGGTCTTGTGTACCCCAAAGAACCAACTTGGGTCCCATGTTATTTCTCTTTTTCGTCAACGTCGGCGTAATTTCATTAAAAATGAATTCTTATAATATAAATCAAAGATATACAGAATTGTATAGCAGTGCAGAATGATACTGACCGTTTCGTCTTAAACAGTTTAAACAGTGTTATACCACCGAGGGTATTTGACTCAAATATCTCTCTTATTACATATTAAATTACCTCACAATTCTTACAGTTTTACTGTAAAAAAATATTAACTCTTGCATTCTATTGTAATTCAAGAGGACTCTAATCTTTTGCGTTAAATTTCCGTCAATGTGGTGTGTGATAATCTGAATAAGATATCTGCAAGTTGTAATATTCATTACGATTCACTTAAGCTTATTAAGTCTCTATTAAATGAAACACTAGCAAGCTATGCAATTAGATTGATTAATAGAGTAACATAAGCTTGACTTAGAATTTTTAGTTTTCTAGAAGACTGAGAAAAAATTTCAGATCTCAAAGTGGATATTGACGGACAACACGATACCGCGTCGCAAACCATACGACTTACGAAAACGTGGACTGCCGGAACGAGCCGGAAGGGTCTTAACAGCAGCGGTTTGAGTAGGATGGGTTAGGTCACCGAGTACAATTTGTCGATAATTTACGTCTTTGGAGATCCATTCATGCCGTCCAAATCGATACCTTCCTCTAAATATCCGCGGGCTGCTTAGGTTTCGTCGAGACTAAATAGAGAGAGTGGACAGACACGTGAAAACATGCTGTGATTTCCCTCAATCAAAGGACAAAATTCAAACGATGTAGTGAGAGCCCGTATGGTCATCAAGACCTAACTGAGATTGGGTAAGCAACTGTTTTCATTCATCTGAGACAACGAAAATATTGCTCATACTTTTGTAATAACTTTTTATTTAAACGAAAGTTTACGCGGTACAGTTAATGGCAAAATTCGTAGAAGCAATTGGTGTTGTCAAATTGTCAAAGAAACTTGGGTGAAGCTTTAGTTGTATAACTTAACTTTATCTGAGTTACACAAATACTGACAATTTTTGTCAATCCCAACGTATTTTGTCAATTAGCTGTGAGGAGGTTAATTCACAATGAGAACGAAAAAGAAAAGAGGACTAAAAGATCTAACATAAAACAAGACATTCAATTTTTTTTATGCAGTTTTAAGTAGATTTATAGTAAGGTATCATAGAATATGCTTACTAAAAGCAGTATAACCTAAATTCAATAGGACTGCAAAACAAATATTCTTTGATTAAATTTACAACAAAAAATGTGTCGTTCTTTAATTATTTCACACTGCTGTTTGTAACGCGTAACAATAGTGCCAAGAACGGAGGCATCGACATGAACAACTAACAGGTAACTGGGACGCTCGACGTTACGCTATTAATTATTAACCACTTTTTTCGCTCTCCGATAAATCTACCGACACAAACCCACAGTTCTTAAACGTATTAATCGCAGTATGATCAAGGAAACGCTTCCGCTTTCGTCGACGAGTTTAATTTCCGAAAAATGGCATCATATTTTTGCATGATATCGACGAATTAAATTGATTCGATTCTTTGCAAGATTGTTATTCCACCAAAACAAATATTATTTTATAACCTGGAGAAGTCTTTACAGGAAAAGCGAGATCAAAGTAAATAATTAATGAACGCATATTAGAAGCATGAAAATTGTGGCAACGAAGTAAAACTTGCTTAAGCTCAGAGACAATCAAGCTAGCAAACATAGATAAACGAAATAAAGTAAATTTTTCAGTGTCAACTCTAATGTTAAATATATATAAGGGTTAATTATTCTGATAGTAGAAGATCGCATTCCTTCGTGTCAACGTTCTTCGTCCTCTAGCTTCTTTGTCTCAGTCGTTGCCAATGACCCCAACACTGCGCAGAAAATTTTGTCAACATATTACTGACACTCAAAACTTATGTTAAAAATTTTTTAACCTAGTGATTGTTTTAAATCAAGAATAACTCCTCCAACTATTTCCATTTATAAGTGGGTAAGCTAGTCCGGAACGCCAAAAACGATTTATCAAAAAGCAGGCTTACTATGCAATTCTACAAGAGGGTCTTATGGTAATGACATTTCTTATGCTAGTCGATTAAATACCCGCCTACGATAAGTAACATCAGCACCTTAATGTGTTTCAAGGAATAGCAACCAAATTAATATTAATTCTGCGTTTCTGCTTTAATGCAAACGGAATTCATTCCTAGACTTTATTATTGCTTCAAATCTCGGAATAGTTTAGGGGGAGATAGAGTTCAATGTTGCCATCAAATTTAAGAAAAGTTTAGAATTTTTCAGTGTCTCTCTACACTTTGACGGCGTATCGTCCGAAGGGCAAAGAGAGTCTCCAGTTTCGCCTTGCGAGGTTGGTTCTTCGTAAAATTGCAGCGTAGACGCATTTGACCATGTTATTGACTTTGGTCGCAAATTGTTTAACGGGCGGCGGTTGTAACGCGAAGGCGGGCGACAGGCTGTGAACGGGGCAGGGCAACAATGCGGTTGCTGGAGATGCTTAATATACTAAGGCTGGAGTAATGAACGTAAGATGAAACAGAAACAACGATAAACGTCCTTAACACCTCGTGATGAATAGCTTAAAAGTAATATAGTGAGTGAACTCGCACGGTTGTGTGAATGTTGAGTGTTCGTCGTCGGTTGCAGGGCGAGTTATTAAACAGTGGCAGTATTGAGTGACGCGCGAACCCGAAAAGGGAGGTCTCCTCAAATAACAATCAAAGACGATTGCCGAGTGCCGGGTCACCGGGCCACCACTTCGCCACCATAACTCAGCGGCCCTCTATCGCACTCTGCCAGACCGCATTTAATCCCTTACTATTCTCTGCCCCCCGCACACACTGTTATAAATAAATTTGTTACCGAGTCCTTTATGGAGGCGTAATCATATAAAGAAGAAATACGGTATATTTTATGATCACGGAAACCAGCCAGGGCATAAATGTTGTATAGCAACTATTACAGGACTCAAGATTGGCGTCCTGCGTGAAAGTACATCGGGAAGTAGAGCGTCGCCGACGTCGATAGACGCAAAATGCAACTAACGTGCATACAAATTACACACGATTTTTTCCTCTCATAAAAATAACAATTTTCTTGTCATAAAACTATTTTATTCCCCATTACGTGTATGCCTATAAAAACAGGTTGAAGAGAGCCGTAATCGCACGCTTAACTGGCCGACAACAAACATACATTTCATGTGTAAAGCAGGTCGCATCCACGGGACAGGACTCAACATTCAGGGCTAGCGACGCTTTCTGATTAGCCCGAGTGGGTCACCAAAGGTACACCGCTCAACATTCACTATAATAACAGAATGCTAACAACTCAGACCTTGGCATACCGAACTGTG